TTTTTTTTTTTTTTTTTTTTTTTTTTTTGAGAGGTTTTTGCTATAGGGCTCATGCACTCACCAGAAAGACAGGGAGACAAAGAGAAAGAAAGCGAGAAATCACCCCCTCAGGGGGAGTGGCCAAGCTGCAATCCCTTCTCTCCCATTCTCCTCTCGGGATCTTGGGCACATACGCACGCACACGTCTGGCGTGAGTTTAAGCCACCAGGTCCGGGACTCGAACCGTAGTCAACCACATTGGAGTCAGTGACAGCCATTACACCAATTGCTGGTCCCCAATATGAGATATCTTTACTTTTGCTGCCTGACAACTGCTTTGTTTTCCTCTTCTTACTGAAGATAGTTAATAAAGTAAATAAAAGGCTCACCCCTTTTCCTTGTCAGCGCCTAGGAATTTCTCCAAGGATGAATCAAATTATCCCATTTCCAAGGAGACATAGTCAAGTTTGTGGACTTTGCTACAATGTAGAGTAGTAAACATATGGGCAGGCCTTTTTTTTTTGGTCTTTTACTCTGTCTCCCATAAACAAGGTTAGTGGGTCAGTCAGCCAACATCACTAGAAATATGAAGAAGTGTTAGATATACTTTCCTGACTTACTGTGGCTGGAAGAAATATTTAGGTCATCTGAGGGACATGCTAGAAATAAAGTCTTAAAAACACTGGAATGGTGGGAACCAGCAAGTGGCGTGGTGGTTAAGGTGCTGGACACTCCCACATGGCCAACCACAGTTTGAGTCCTGAACCTGGTGGCTTGCTTTCTCACGTGTTCTCTCGCTCTCTCTCTGTGTCTCCTTCTGGTCAAATTTAAAATAAATAAATTTAAAATGAATTAATAAATAAAATTAAATAATTCTTTAAAAAAATCATACTCTTGAAAAGGCAAAACTCTCTAAAAAATAAACACTGGAATGGAAGGGCACCGGATTATTAATCTGCACAGCATATTTTTCAGTCCAGCTTTACTTTTACAAAATCCTCACGGGGCCCAATTAACTTTCTAATTTGGATTGCTATCTTTTCATGAACCTGGTGAATCAAAATGCCTTTTTTTTTTTTTTTTTTTTTTTTGGAGAGGTTTTTGCTATAGGGCACGTGCACTCGCCAGAAAGAGACAGAGAGACAGAAAGCAAGAAATCACCCCTTGGGGAGAATGGCCACGCCACAATCCCTTCTCCATTCTTCTCTCGTTATCTTGGGCATGTATGCACATGCACCCGGTGAGAGTTTAAGCCACCAGGTCTGGGACTCGAACTGTGGTGGACTACATGAGAGTCCAACGACATAGCCATTACACCAACTGCTGGTCCCCAAAATGTTTTTTTTTTAATGTAGTTATGTAATAAATATCGTCTCATTCTCCTCATGCGGCTGTGTGTCCTAGGCTGCTGCCCTCGCCGGTGAGGGTGGGAACAGCTGCTCTTTGCTAACTTTGTAGGACTCAAAGACGCAGTTTTTGCTCTCTCTTCTGCTCAGTGTCAACAATATATCCTTTACGAGATACAACACTTGAGCTGGGCTTTGGAGGAGGCAATTTTTGTTTATTTTATTCGTGATAGCACTGCACGAAGTCACACCACAAACCCCATTGCCCGGCTTGTCAGACTGACTGGGGACTCTGAACTCTTGGTCAACCACGTGGCTTCCAGCACTGCACTTCAGTTTGCCACTAGGCGGTACTGAGACAAACTATTTATTTATTTTAAATTATCATTGCATATTTTCCATAGGACATGTGTGCTCACCAGAGAGAGAGAGAGAGAGAACTCCCCAGGGAGGATGATCATAGAGCAATCCCCTTTCCTCCACTCCTCTCTCAGGGTTTTGAGCACATATGCAAACACACCCGGTACATTTTTCAAGCTTCCAGGTCCAGGACTCAAACTTTGCCAGCAGCCACGTGGAGCCCTGCTACCTTAACCTCCACACCATCTGCTGGCCCTGAGGCAAGTTTTCAGTGGGCTTTGGTTTCAGTTTGATGTTAAGCCAACTTAAGAAATTCTCCATGAAACTACCTTGAGTTCACTATTCTCCTCTGGACATGAGGCTTAAGTTCCAGATAATAAAAATACATTTTGATTTTATCCCTTAGTCTTTCTCTTGGGACTTTGCGATGTAGAGGAAGTTGTAATGTTATAAAACACAGCAAGCAGAATACAGACAGCAACCGGCTGTGTATCTCTAACCAAAAGGGTACATTTCGAATGTTCTCAACACAAATGACAAAGGATGGGATGATGGTTATGCTAATTATTCTGGATGAATTACGACACACGGTATTACTGTACTGTAAAATCATGTACTTGTGCATGCATGTACAAGTATTAATAATATTTAAAATGTTACACCTTTTATGGCACATCAATTAATCATTGCTAACACCTAGTTTCTGTTGATTAAAACAGTACACTACTTTATAACTTCTTCCAACTAGTATTTTTTTTTTTTCTATGAGATTTTTGCCTTAGGGCTCATATGCTTGCTGAGGGAGGGGAGATGGAGAGACAGACAGTAAGAAATCACCCCCCAGGAGAATGGCCACACCGTAATCCCTGCTCTTCCATTCTCTTCAAGGGATGTATGTGCACACACACACACACAGTGATTTTTCAAGCCAATTCTAGGACTCAAACTGCAGTTGGCCATGTGGGAGTCCAGGGATGTAACTGCTATGCCTTCTGCTGGCTTCCCAAATTGTGGTATTAAAAACCCTCCCTTATTCTTTTTTGGAAATTCTTTAGCAATATAGTCAAAGATATTACGGTTCTACTATTCACAGACTTTCGGGGGACCTTTATGAGCTGCCTGACCTCTTTGTGTTCAGCTCAATGCTTCCTCCTCCCAGGTTCCTTACTGCCTCTGCTAACTGCTCCCAAGTGCAGTCCTGTTTGTGTTCAGATATAGGAGGCTACTTCTCTGGGAGACTCAGAAAACACAGCCATTTATAACAGGCCGGAGATGCAGCAGTGGCAATAGGACTCTGCAGGAGGATCAGCAATGAACTATCTGATGTTCTAGCAAACTAGACCAGGCTCTCAAACTTCCCTTATACAGGATTCTCTTGACTGATATTCACTTACTGCAATGATGCAGATAAATCAGAAAATAGCCATTTTGCCGGGTTGGTTCTGTAGCTCAGTGGTTAAGGGTACTGGATCCCACACTTCTGACCATAGTTCAAATCCCAGTCCTGGTGTCTTTAAAAAAACATGCTGGGTGTGCATGCATACCCAAAATCCCAATGGGAAGGAGGAACGGAGGGGGAAAACAATTATGGCATCATGCCCAAGTCCCAATTGGGGGGGGGGTCATTTGTCTCTCTCTGGGAGGCACATGTGTCCTCTGACAATAATGAGTCATTCTGACTTGTAGCACTGCATGAACTTTAATAAATGGCAGGTACAGAAGTTACCTTCTGAGTTTGTAACATTTCGCCCAGGACAAACTGCTTAGATCTTAGCGATATGGTTGAGAAATGCCTAAATATTAGGAAAGTCCTTTCTAGAAGGCAACTTGAGGCTTTTATTTTACTGTGCTTATATTCCATCTGTGAACCATCCTGATTCTAACCTTTTCTCTATCCTCATGATCAGCTCCTCTACTCCCCAATCTATTAATGCGAGTATCTTCACAAGCATCAGGATTCTGAAGATAAAAACTTCGTGGATCCAGCGAACTTGGCTGTGTTACTTTTATTTCATGTGTGCGCATTTCCAGGACAATGGCTGACTGGTACTAAAACCCAATCGGTCCATCAGTACATCACTGCTGACCAAAATAAGCGTCTTCGTTGGCCTGTTAGGGTTGGGTCTGCTAACCCGCCCACATTCCTCTGGTGTACACTGGCACGTAACGGACTGTGGAACAGGGCAGAAGAAACCAGGCACAGAACACGCTCCCTTCTCATGCTTTAATCCCATACCCTGTGCTCCGCTGAGGGAGGACATCTCCATCTCCCCAGTCCTTGCCACTCCCACAGTCAGAGCAGGTGAGGTTTATAATGATTCAGCCTCATCTCTATGGAACCTGTATCAGGCATCAGAGATCCTTGGGCCATGAGATACTATGATTCAGTTCTTAAGTACATGAAAATTAAACAACGTAAGAAAAAGCAAACAATAAAAACACATGAAAGCCATTTACTCTGGGCGAACTCTTCCAGGCCCCAGGTGCTGGGCTCACGATTTTCTGATGTGAGAGAACCGGGGCAGAGACGATGGAGACTGGGCACTGAGAGTGGGCATGACACCAGCAACAGCTTTTTCTTATTACTCCATAATTCAATTTTCAATCTCCAGTTTTCTTCATGTAAATAAAGTGACCCAGTCACTCAGGACTCCTGATCATTATTGTGCCTCTGTAGGCTGACACTGTTCCACAACTCCCTCACACAACCCACCCGAAGGAAGTGGGCACGGCTGGGTGGGCTTGTACGTCTGTGGGAATGTAGATGATTTAACTATGCTTTACTGAATCCCTCAGCACCCAAACGCTACATCTCACTAGCAGCAGAAGTGTGCGGGGCAAAACCAAAAGACTGAATAGGAAGGCTAATGGCATGAGTATCCTGACGGGGAAAAACCCACGAGCAAAGAGCCTTCCAACAGGCCCTCCTTTCTAGCAGTGTCTGGCACTAGGTACCATTTCGATGATGGGAAAGGGAGCAGTTTGACAAGGTCCATACAAAGCCTTGAAGTTGTTGCCCACCAAACACTTCCCCTGATCCTCCCCAGCAGCAAAGGAAAGTGCGCAGTGAGGAAATGAATAAAACACTGAGGGATATGTACAGGCATCCCACGAACGTGTGGCAAAGCCATCGGGACGCGGATCTCCTGTCTTGAGTTCAGGGCTGTGTGCTTTAAGACTCGAGCCCAGTATGGACAAAATCCTACAGGCCAGGCCCTTACCAAACCAAAGGGGTTGTCCTTGGCCACTTTAAACGTGAGGCTGTGACGTAGTCTATAGGACATGTAATGACCTGTGTTTTGGAAAATATATAACCACAACCTCTGAAGTCTTCTAATTCTATTTCATACCCATGAGGTAGAGGCAGGAGTACTCCGGTGAAGGAGAAGCCTCAATTCAGGTCGTACTTGGGCAAAACATCTTCTCAAGGTGTAGAAGGTTGAGAGGTTCCACCTGGGGCCTCCACTTGGTCGTGGGAAGAGGCAATAAGATCTGGGACTCTCTGGATGAAGTCTTCCTCGGCTGGCAAGAAGGCATCTCCTACCCGACCCCTGGGCGAGGGCTGAGCACAGATCCCCTCACACAGGGGCCCGCTAGGAGGGCTTTTCTGAGTGGGTCCTCTGATGCCTGATTAAGTGATAGCCTCTGCTGAAGCTTTTCCCACACGTGGGGCACGTGAACGGCTTCTCACCGGTGTGTGTTCTCTGGTGCCTGACGAGGTGGTCCCTCCGACTGAAGCTCTTCCCACACTCGTTGCACCGGCAGGGTCTCACCGAGGCGTGCCCCCTCAGGTGCTTGGCAAACGCCGCACTGTGGTTGAAGCACCGTCCACACTCGCTGCAGAGGTATAGCTGCTGCGCAGCGTGCGTCTTCCGATGTGCCAGGTACCGCCTGTGGTCGCTGAAGTCCTCCCCACACTGCCCACACAGGTAGGGTTTGCCTCCAAGGTGGATTCTTTGGTGCGTGGTCAGCACAGATTTCTGGCTGAAGCTTTTGCCACAGATATTACACGGGAAGGGCTTTTCCCCTGTGTGAGTCCTCTGGTGCCGGACAAGGTCTGAAGTCCAGCGGAAATGCTTTCCACAGTCCTCGCATCTAAAGGGTTTCTCCACTCGGGGAGTTCTCTCTGCCTGAATCCGAGGCGGGGTCTCGTCCAAAGTCTTGCGGTTTAAGGGGTATTTGTAAGGAGTGCTCACCTTGTGAACCTTTTGGTGTCTGGCAAGATGTGAGCTCCGTGTGTAACTTTTTCCACATTCCATACATTTGTAAGGCTTCTCTCCTGTGTGAGTTCTCATGTGCCTAACAAGGTGGGAGTTACAAGTGAAGCTTTTTCCACATACGAGACAGTCATGGTGTCTTGCTAACAGGGGGAAGATAGGCATGGTTTCCCGAAGATTCATTAAACTATTCACTTGAGAAATATTGGTACCAAATCTCCTTTCACTAAATCTGGCTGGATTATCCTCAAAGACTACTTCCCAGTCTGGAGTCTGGCGAATTTCTGGATCTCCCACAGTAGACCTGTGCATGTCCTCTAAACCATCTTCTTGCTCAAGATACTCTTCCTCATCGTCACTCCCTTCTCCTGTGAAGGGAGAAAAGCGGAAATATAGGCAACGGTGTCGTCAACGCTTTGGGGGGAGGCTTCAAAATGGTTTGGGGAGGGCATGGTCACAGAGAGAGAAGCCCAAGTTGTCTTTATTTCACGCTTAACTGTGTTTACACTCTTTTTGTTCTTGTAACAATTTTGAGAGAGGGTGGGAAAGCAGATATCAATTTCATGATTCTAACGAGAAAACTGAGAACCACAGCGCTGCGTGCCTTGCCCAAGGCTAAGCACAGTAGGCGGATAGAGTACTCGAATTCAAGTGGGCTAGTGACTAATTCAGTTTGGGGTAGAAAAGTCGTTTTACAATTTTATAAATAGGTAAACGTCTAACTTAAATACCAGGTCAGACATTCAAACTTACAATTTAGCATTGAGTCAGCCTCGGATGAAGCCAGAGTTTTCTAAACGTAGAGGCTGGGAGCAGAGATACCCAGTCAGCTGCACGCCTGCCACATGCCAGGTACTTTATCGGTTACGCGACCCACGAGGCTCGGGGTGGCCTCAGAGCACCGTCCTCACTTTGTACACGTGAAGAGGAGGACTGCGTGGTAAACGGTACCGCTGTGATCCTGACAGTTTGCTTCCTTTTTCTTTTACTTTTTCTGAGTTACCTAGTCCTCAAAGAAATGACGGGCCAGGTGAAGAGGAGAGTGACAGAAGGATGTGGCTCTCGGGGGAGACGGTAATGCTGGCATGCTGCGAGCAGCAGCAAGGGGGCCCTGCGGGAGGGAAAAGCGCTGCCTCGAGCGGCCACTGGGGAGCTGTGGGGCGGGGGATACCTCTCATCATTTCTCACCTGTGTAGGTGAAACTCAGGATTTCTGGTTCTTGAGGCTCTTGAAGCTCTTGGATATCTGGGACCCAAGGCTCTTCCTCTCTAACCCGGGAGATCTCATCTAGTCTGGGGATTGGAAATGCTGCTCGAGAGAGGAAAAACAGGACGTCACAGTCAGCCACCAATCCCACTCTCAGGGCAGATCTTTCCTGCTTGGTAGGCGATCAGGTAGTAAAGACACAGCCGGGAGCAGATCGAACCTTTGGTCTTTCCAGCCTGAGCGCCTCTAACTAAGCCGTGCTCGTCTCCAGCCTCCCTTGTGCTTTCCCCTGCAGCTCCGTCGGTCTGCCACGTAAACCGGGCCCCACCGTCCTGTGCTCAGGTTAGCAGATGATCCCCAAGCACTGGGTTGTCGGAAAAGTCATGAAGTATTTTTCTATGTAAAAATGCATCTTAACTTTTCTAACAACCCAGTAGATTACCTGCTTGTTTTAAAACCAACATGTGCTCCCTATGAATATTTTACACTAAAGTTGTAGCTTAATCTTCTTACTAGTTTACAACCACTTTCCAAGCATTCTGCCTTCCCTTTAACTTGGAAAGAGACCGTCTTCTTCCAAGACTAACCTCTCAACGTCCTTGGCAGGGCAGCATGAGAATCTAGTGCACGCGAACTAAAGTCTAAGCCCCACCCACCACATCGCCAACAGGAACATGATTTCTGCACCTGCAATGTTCTAGAACCCTTGAAATTCCTTACACAGAGAGACCACGATCCCACAGTCTTCTTCCAGCACGTATTCTCCATAGAACTCTTTCTGTGTTGGGTCCAGATCACTCCACTGGTCCTGGGAGAAGCACACAGCCACATCCTTGAAAGTCACCAGGCCCTGAGACAACACGAGGAACCCATCAGAATGTGATGCTTCAGGCCACCTCATGCAGGCAGGATCAGAAGGAACTCCCAGAGACCACAGGCTCCCTCTCGGATGTTGTGCCCCTCTGCCCCCTCACTGCTGTCTGATTTCCCACTTCTGCAGTGGCCCTGCTCCTGCCGCCTTTGACCCCACTGCTTCTTTCTCTAAAGAGTTATTTTAACTTTATTTCCAATTTGACCAGAGACAGACAGAGAGAGAGAGGAAAAATGAGAAAGGAAGCCACCAGGTCTGAGACTTGAACCATGGTTGGCCATGTGGGAGTCCAGCGCCTTTAAACACCATGCCACCTGCCAGACCAACCTCACTGCTTTGCCTCAGGAGCAGCCCATGTTCCTCTTTATGATACTGTTTAAAATTCAAAAAAGGTCTTAAAAGTCATCATTCGGGCCAGTCCTGTCACCTGGTGTTAGGGCACCTGGATCCCACACGGTGGAGTGCATGGACACAGCAGCCTGAGAAACACACTGGACCAGTGTGCATGTGTGCCCAAAATCTTGGAAGCAGGCAGAGATGGAAGACAGCCAACACTGTGACCATTCCCCATGGGGTGCTTTCCCTTGCCCCCGGCTCTGCCCCTCTCTGGCGAGTGCAGGCACTCTCTAGCAAAAGAGAAGTCACCAGTCAGCTCCTTATTCAAAGTTTTAGAGCCACCTTTACTTCTGCAAAAATTCATCTTCTAAGAAGCTTTTCCAAACCAACTGTCTGATCACCTTTATCATAAACAAGGCTTCATCAGCTAGACTATGGTCTAAAACGTGTCCAGATGCTGTTCTGTTTTACTCCAGCCACATAGCTTAGCTTCAGGGCTCTGAAAAGGGCAATGCTTTGTAGATGCCAAGGCAGTCCAATCGATCATTCTCACCAAGGACTAGCAAACTTACTCCTAAAACCAGCAGCCCTCACGTTAACAACTGCAACCCCGTGCTGAAGGTTACAAGAAATCATTTTGTTAGCTGTTCTCACTGATGGCAAACGGAGTCTGCAGACCCAGCAGGGACTGCTGTAATCCTCATCATCTCCCACCCTCCAGACACCTGGAAACTGCTCCACACTTTACACTGGCAGTGGGAGGATGCAGCAGGGCCCTCGGCCTGGCCTGGTGGCACATGGCCAACACCCACAGTTCTCTGTGGTTCGAAGGAGCTAGGGAGCACCTGTGATAGGGCGGTAAGAAGGGCGACCATCTCGGGGTCTCCAGAACGCTCCTCTGCGGGCAGGGCCGGGTCCTGGGACGCTGGAACCCCTAAGGAGGAGAGAAGGAAGAGATGAGCAATATGCAGTGCACCCCAACAACTGACACACAGCAGAACGCCCTCACTTCAGTAGAGAGGAGACTGTTGTTACGAGAATTAAGAAAGCAGCCTGGGTAGTTCAGGTCACTCCAGCTCCACCACCTCTAAGACTGCCAGAACGTCAAGGGAACGAGTATCAGAAGTGTGGTCGGGCGTGCGGGAGGTCCCAGCTGGTACCTCCCTCTCTCAGCGTCCTGGGTTCTGTGATCCTCTATGACCCCCCCGCTTCCCCTAGAGCCCACCCAGCCTCCTTGCTACAGGAGAGACCCCAACCCCCACGTTGTGCCACAACCACCCCCCTTCCTGTGGAGGCTTCCCACCGCTCTCCTGCAGAGGCTGGGCTTCCTCCTCGTGGCAGGGGCTCTGCTCTTCTGGCGCCTCTGAGTCTGGGCTCTGCGTGGTTTCCTCCTGGGACTGCTCAGGGCTCGAAGTCTGTGCAGGATCCTGTGGCTCACCAGGCGACCCGGCCTCGGCTCCAGGGGGCACTGTATCCTCTGACAGGACTTCCTGGCCGTGAACATGGACAGTCACCTGGGAACAATCCCAACTTCCAGTCACCATGAAGTAAGGAGGAAGGTGCCAGTGGTCAGGGTTTATTTTAGGAAAAGCGGCCGAGAAAAGCTCCCAGAGGGACCTGGATGAGGAGGGGAAACCCAGGAGGTGTGCGCAGGATGAAGGCCATCCTCACTAGGAGAGGTGGGGCACTTGGATGCTGCACCGCCCCCTGGCGTCCCCCAGCCCACTCGCTGCTCAGGCTTTGGGGTACCGATTCCCCCCTTCCCCCCCAGTCCTCGTCCTCCCTGCTGTCTGCCGCTCTGGCTTACTACTACCCCGAAAGGGGGCTTTGCCATGAGGGTCTATGAGAGCTTTGGGGAAAGTCACAAAATTCTCTCCATAAACCCAAGGCTCAACATCCAAAGGAGAGAAAAGCAAAACCATGACCCCTTGTGGGGCTGAAGTCCCTCTGATGATCCCCAGGCAGGTACTCCAAAACACAGAAAGTCACACTCACTCACACTCACTCGCACACACACACCTCTGACCCCTGGGACGCATGGACCTAGGAGCAGCCCGAGGCAGAGCCGACCGGACTGAGGGAGCAGCTGGGGAGCTCCGCAGCCCTCTCCACGTCCAGCCTTCCAGAAAGCAGACCCCTCCACATCACACAGGTCAGGACTCCCCCTCCTCACCCACCGCCTTGGTCTCCTGGGTTGTCTCTGCAAACCCTCCACCAGCGTCACGGCCTCTTCGCCGCTCTCGGGCCGCTGGCCCCGCACCCAGCTCTGCAGCTCCCCCGGCAGGACGGTGAGGAACTGCTCCAGCACGAGCAGCTCCAGGATCTGCTCCTTCGTCCGCCTCTCCGGCCTCAGCCACTGGTGACAGAGCTCCCGCAGTCGGATGAGAGCTTCTCGTGGACTCGCTGCTTCCTGGTAGCGGAAGCGCCGGAAGTTCTGGTGCGAGGTCTCCAGCACGGGGTCGTCCCCCTGTGAGACAGACTCTGGCCTGCAGGGGAAATCGTCCTCCAGCTTCACCATGAGAATCCCCTCTTCTTCCCAAAGATCCTGGTCCTCTGGTTCCAAGGCTGTAGCCATTTCCTGGCTCTGGGGCGGCCTCACACCATCTACAGCTCACACGGCATTACCCCACCTGGGCCCAGACACCTCAGGGCGTCTCCCCCAAGGAACCTGGGGCAGAGAAGTGAAGATAGAGTGGTGTGAGATGCAGTCACACACAAGGATGCGGCTCAGAGCTCAACCGCAGTCCACACACACTTCTCCAAGCTACACCCCTCCGCCCGTCGCCACATGCTGCAAACAGACGCTGGGACAGGTAGCCTGTGGCTGAAGGACTGGTGGCCTACGCTGCTTCCTCTAGGTTTGTACCCCAAGGGGACACACTGTGGTTCCACTTCCCGAGTGCCGCCAACCCCATCCTATCAGCCTCCAACTCGGTTTCTTCCTCTGCTTTTTTTTTTTCTTACAGTGCTTTAGTTCAGGCCCTCGTCCCTTGCTTGGACCAGTGCCAGCTTCCTGCCGGGTCCCTGCAGCCCTGGCCATGAGCAAGCATGGCAGAACCACAGCATCACGGCATCCTGGGTTCTCAGCTTCTCTAGGCAACTGCATCTGTAAATGCCGCAGGTGTCCCACCGCGCACGTGCTCTGGTGAGAACCACGGAGGTGTGTGGAGTCGAGAGCCCTAGAGTTTGAATCCTGGCTCTATCATTTGCAAGGGAGAAGACCATGGGCAAGTTCCTGTCTCCCCACACCCCTTTCCCTGTTTACAGAACGGAGGGAACTGTGGTATCCACCTAACTGGGTCACTGTGAGGATTGGAGGTACTGCCTCTCGAAGTGCTCAGGAGAGTAATGGTACTGCGGTATCATCTAAGTTACAGTTCCAACTATACTACACGTATTTAAAACTAGTACCTTCTTTTGGTTGTCATTTGTTTTTGAGAGATTTTGCTACAGGGTGTAAGCACTTGCCAGAGAGACAGTGAGACAGAAGGTGAGAAATCATCCACTGGGGGGATGGCCACACCACAATCTCTTCTCCTCGTCTCCTCCTGGGATTTTGAGCACGTACATACATGCACCCAGCATGAGTTTCAAGTTGCCGGGTCTGGGAATTGAACCGTGGGTGGCCATGTGGGAGTCCAGCACCTTAACCACCATGCTACCTGCTGGTCCCAGGACCTTAAGACAAGGTCTCCCTGTGTCATGGCCCTCCTGCCGCAGCCCCGAGGACCAGCAGTGCAGTGCACGCAAGCACCGCCGGCTCTGCGACAAGGTCTTGCCGTGCTGCCCGAGCTCGTGCTCCCTCCTCAGCCTGCTAAGCAGCTGGGCTGAGGTGCACACTGTGCCCACCTTTTAGGGTGGGCTGGGGAGGGGCCTGGGTCTCCCGTGTGGCCCCAGGAGCAGCGCCTGCCTGCACACCCCACCACAGCCAGACCAATAGGAATGTCTTTTTCACAGAGACCACTCCAAGCCCTGGGCATGGCACGTGAAGCTCGTCACAGTCAGTCCCGATATACCATCAAGCCTCATGCCGCGCCCTTCTCTGTACTGCCGAGAGAACAAGCATGCTGCTCCTGTCCCGACCACAGGGGCATCAGGTCTCACGGTGTCTGAAGGTCGGTCCTTCTGCCCAGAACTGTCACCCCCAGCTCTCCGACCCCCAGTGCTGCATGCCTCTCCTTGCAGGCCCTCTTCTTCATTCCCATCATTTACAGCTGAGGTCCTTTTCATTCTCACCCAGATTACTGCAGCTGCCTCCAAACGTGGGCCACCTACCCACAGACTGACTCGCTAGTCACCACACGCAGTGTGGCCAGGATGAGCCCCTGGTTCACCTGATCATGTCGCTCTCCTATGCGATCCTTCGATCACTGCTCTGTCCTGCAAACGAGAGGCAAGCTTCTCAGCATTAGGTATCAGGCTGGCCACCACCTGGTATTCCCCCTGCCCGCCTACCAATGCTTTCAGTCACACGTGTGCGCAAGGCACACGAGTTCCCTGCTCTGTGGCTTTGGAACATGCTGCTCCTGCCCTTTCCTCTCAGCCAGGTTAACCTTCGCTTATCCTTCAAGACTTAACTCAGATTCCATGTCTTCTGAGACCTTTGATTCCACCCCTCTCACCTTAACCGTGGTCAGAAATCACCGCAGTGCTTCCATGGTCACCGGGCGCAGCTTAGTCCCTGCTGCAGCATGTAGCCACTACTTACTCTGCCGCGCAAGGCCTGGAGGTCAAGGGCTGGTTTTCACCAATCTCCAGTACTTACAACAAAGTGCATAATAAATGCATTTACAATGGACCAACCTCCTCAGCTTTTTACTTCAACTGAAGGCCCAGTCTTTTCCTCTACTGTTTCTACTCTTATAATTCATCAAGTAGTTAATTCTATCTTCTGAAAAAGTGTCTCAAATTCATACATCTCTTCTGCCATTCCTCTGTTTGAGACATTATAGCACATTAGCACTAATAGGACTTTAAAAATTAAAAAAAAAATTTTTTTAAAAGCTGCATTTCCACCCTGAAGCAGCTCTGGCACCTAACAAGTACTTGTATGTCAAACGAACACCCAAGTTCAAGTTTTGTGGCTGGTCGTGGTCCTCGCTCCAGACCAGGGTCCACACGCAGTCCAAGGGGTCTTTTGCTTCTCATGCTGCACTAGCAGCTTCTGATTCTCCCATACTCAAGGCTATCAACCCTTTTTCCCCTTTCCGGTTTTTGCCCTAGGGTGTGTGTGCCACCAGAGAGAAGGAAAGTGAGAAATCATCCCTCAGGGAGGAAGGCCACACTGCAATCCCTTCTCCTCCTGGGATTTGGGGCACACACACACACACCCGGCGTGATTTTCAAGCCACCTGGGCCAGGACTTACACCGCTGGCAGCCATGTGGGAGCCCAGCCTTAACCACCATGCCGCCTGTTGTCCCCGTCATCCTAACAGCTATCTCATTTGCTGTCACAGCCAACACCCACGTTATTTATATTCATTCTCAAATCTTTCATGTTTATTTTTTCCATGAACTGTTTGGAACATACTTTCATTGTCTATAATCCCTAGGTCTTCACGTGCCAGCATATTTTTTTGGAGGAGTTTTTGCTAGAAGGCACGTGTGCTCACCAGAAAGAGAGAGACAGACAGAAAGCGAGAAATCACCCCCCAGGGGGGATGGCCACACCGCAATCCCTTCTCCTCCATTCTTCTCTCGGGATCTTGGGCACTCACGCACATGCGCCCAGCGTGAATATAAGCCACTGGGCCCAGGACTCAAACCATAGTCAGCTACATGGGAGTTCAGCGACATTATGCTAACTGCTGGTCCCACGTGCCAGCTTTCGAAGCTCTCTCGTCCTCATGGTGCTTTGTCTTAGTTTTCAACTTTATCCTCACCTTCAGTGAGAGCTGTTCTTTGGGGGTCCTAAGAGCTCTGGGTTATTAGTGCCTCAGGACACTCCCAAGTCAGGTGCTCAGTGCATCATGGGGCCTGGGCCTTCAAGGAGCGCCTGGGCACGCCCCTGCACTTTTCCGGGGTCATTGGGGAGCTGTTCATGGAAGGGGCAGCTCTTCAAAGCTCTGTGCTTACAGACTGCTTCACCTCATAGGCCCCACGCCTCCCAGCAGCTCCTCTCACCCTAGCTCCTGGCTGAACACAAGGATTAGAACCCCAAACTGAGAAACCTTCTTTTGGTTTGAAATCTCCTTGGGCCATGGTGGAATCAGATTGTATTTAATCTTCTAACTTTTCTTCTTTTTAAAGAATTATTTAAATTAGTTAATTTAATTTTAATTAATTTATTTAATTTTGTTATTATATATTTTTTAATTTGACCAGAGAGAAGTTGGGAAAGAGAGAGAGAGAGAAAGGAAAAAATGAGAAAGCAAGGCACCAGGTCCAGGACTCGAACCACAGTTGATGATGTGGGAGTCCAGTGCCCTAACCACCATGCCACTTGCAGGTCCTGTTCCTTTAACATCTTTTTCTCTCCATTCCTGGAACCTCTGTATTTACCTTTGGTTAGAGACAGACAGACAGACAGCATAGACAGAAGGCACATCCACATCAGCTCTGCCTGCACTGCTCCAAGGCCTCAGTGGCGAACTTTTGACACACGAAACCTGCCCACATCTTCACATTGTCCTTACGATAAAATTCAAACTCCTAAGGCCAGCCTGGGGAAAGTGGTTCAATCCCACATGGGCGACTGCAGTCGAACTGGACCTGGTGGCTTGAGAAACACGCCAGGTGCATGTGCATGTGTCCCAAGTCCTGAAAGGAGAGAGAAATGGAGAACGAGCTGTGGTGTAACTCACCCCACTGGGGTGTTGTCTCACCTTCCCTCTCTCCAGGGAGTATGTGAGCTCTGGCACATTAAAATAACTAAGTAAACTCCTTATACTTGGTACCCAAGTCCAAGACCCAGCCCTGCTTCCCTCTCTTCTCCCATGACTGCCGCCCTAAAAGCCTCTGCTCGAGCCCTGCATCTCCTTCCCCGTGCCCTCTGGGCCTGCCCGGTGCTGCCCATACCGTCTGAGACACCCTCCTCTGCCCTGTTCACGCCTCCAGATCCGTGCTCCCAGGGTGTCTTCCCAGGCTGTGCTTCCACAAGAGCTCCGCCTCCCCACATCACCACTCATGACCTGGAGTTCATCTTGCTGCCGAGCCCGCTGGATGGCACGGCTGTGAAGGCAGGGACGCACTGCGCCCGCCTGATGCCCTGCACGTCACGCGCTCACTCGGCAGCTCATGGATGCAGACAACACCACCCACGTTTCTAATAATCTAGTCTCTGAAAAGTCAGATACCATGTTGTGTTACTCCTCATTCATTCATCTGTCCAGCAAACGGTGTGATGGACAATGAGTAAACACAGAAAACCCTGTTTGCACTGTGAGTGAAACAGAGAACTCCTACTGGAGTTCCAGGGGATGGAGCTACAACGCTGCATGAGAAACTTTTCGGCTGTCCTGGGGATGACACAAATGCAAACTGCACAAAACTAGGCATTTGAAAAAAAATTTTAAGGATTTTAAACAACTTTAATAAGCACAACATCAAAAATCAGGGAATTTAATGCAACTACAATACTGATTATTTATCCAGACAAAGCTTCTCAAACTCCTCCACCCCGCTCTGCCACCTCCAGAAGGTGGGGAGAGAAAACACACTTGATACATAGGGTCTTCTACGCTCTTTAAAGTCTAAAACCCAACAGACTAGGAACTAGTAGACCAAGAGCCCTCGTGGGCTCCACGTGGCACTAAGTACAAGAAATTCCACACTATGGCTCCAACAACGCGCGCACTGACAGGAGGGTTCCTCTTACACGGCTCTGCTCTCTAAAGAAAAGAACGGTGTCGTGTAAAACCTGCCCTTTAAAAAATAGTCATCATGGGACCAGCAGCTGGCGTAATGGCTTCGTCGACAGACTCCCATGTAGCCGACTGCAGTTAGAGTCCCGGACCTGGTGGTTAAACTCATGCCAGGCGTGTGTGCGTGCATGCCCAAGATCCCAAGAGGTGAATGGAGAAGGGATTGTGGCATGGCCATCTCCCTGGGGGGTAATTGCTTGCTTTGTCTCTGTCGCTGTCTTTTTGGCGAGTGCACGTGTCCTATAGCAAAAACCTCTCAAATAAAGAAAAATCCTTCAGAAGCCACACCTGAGATCCATGGTGCTCATGGCATTACGCTGGCAGCCTAGCAGACTAGGGACAACCAATCAGCGACTGTGGGAACAAAGGGGCGAGCCCTGCTCGGTGGGCAGGGATGAGAGGAGATGAAGGCACAGCAGTGCCAGCAGAGTGCCAGGCTGGGTCCCCAGATCTGCTCCTCCCAGCCTGATCCCCCAGAAATGAGGCTGTTCTCAGGGTTTCATGAGATGACAGAGTCCTTGTAAAAGATAAAGCCCTCTGCACACAACCGCTCTCTGGAGTCCTGTGAGATCTTTATGAACGAAAATGTGCTGCAGAAACATCAAGTGCTACTATGAGTGGGACCAGCAGGTGGTGCAATGGTTACGTCACTGAACTCCCACGTAGTGAACTACGGTTTGAGTCCTGGACTCGGCAACTTAAAACTCATGCCAGGTGCATGTGCATGCGTGCCCCAAGATCCCAAGAGGAGAACGGAGAAGGTATTGTGGCGTGGCTATCCCCCCAGGGGGTGATTTCCCGTTTTCTGTCTCTGTCTCGTGTATGCGCCCTATAGCAAAAATCTCTCTCAAGAAAAAAAAGTGTCACTATTAGGCACAGAACACGGATGTTGTGGTTTATTCTGTAATTCGTCAGACATGCTATCCCCCAAGACCAGCCTTGGAAATATTCCACAGCGAGGTAAGAACTGAACGGATGTGAAACCAAGTCAGAAGAGGGAGACCTGGTTCCAGAAGATACTAAAATACTGTCTGCAGAGATGTTCCCAAGCATAGGCCTGGGCAGGCCCATGGTCCAGTCTCCTGACAGCCTGCTCCTAGGATGTACGAGCAGGACCAGAGGGCGCGAGGAGTAGGCAAGGCTTCCTGGTGACCCGAGACCCCGCTGACTCTGCCCCTTGCCTAAAGGTGGCACATGCGGTAAAGGCTCTCGAGTCTCTTGAATGAACAAAATCCACAGGCAACAAATGAACACCTACTTCTCTCCTTTAAATGGCTACTAGGCGGGGTGATGTCTCTGGACTCCAAGTTACAAGTCTTGAAGTTACATATTATCTCCCTGAGGGAAAGATGGTCTACCTATTTATTGGCAAATAATCTTCAAAAGACAACAATAAATAATGACTACACTTAGTGGCTATTTATAACCCTTGCAGGCCAACCTTCCTTCTGCCCTAGTGCAGGCCCAGTCTGGAACTTGAACGACTGCTTGCTGAGTGAGGCTAACTGGGGCCTGAC